TCTTTTGTCAGTGGTTAAAAAATAGTAGTGATATATCGGATCTCATCTGGGGTCATGTGTAGGAGACGGGACGGGGCTAAATGCAGAAGAAATGTGGCCAGTGGAGATGGGGATGGAGTATAGAGTATGGAGGAGAAAGCTGATGACGCCATTGGAGCTGTGCTTGGAGTGCAAATGCTGCTCCTCCACCACTTGTGCCACCATGCCTTGCTGTTTCGGCATCAATTGCCAACTTCCCAACAAGCCATTTGGCGTTTGCGCCTTTGTTCCCAAGTCATGCCATTGTAATTCTTGCCCCATTTAACTGTATTCTTTCTTCTACCAACATGATGATTGCGTATAAACTAGATTCACAGATTTTCTGTGCACTCTTCGATCCATCATCATCATAATTCATAAAACATTAAACGAAGACGACGAATCGATAGATAGACCTCTAGTACATAAAGGCTTAGTGGGCTTGAATAAAGGCCCATTGGGCATTGTATAAGCCTTTTTGGGTCCAAAGTATTTAGAGGAAGAGCGAATATGCGGCCTACTCGTCGTCCAACATTTTCGTCGATCATAATCAATAAGTCTTCTCTTCGCCGGCAGAGAGTAAATTTGCTTGGCTTGGCGGTGGCATGGAGCTCTGGGTTTGTGTGTGAGTGAGTAGATCGCGCAAAGAATCTGAAAATGGCGTCAACGGAAGGCCTTATGCCTATCACCCGGGCTTTTCTCGCTTCTTACTACGACAAATATCCTTTCTCTCCTCTTTCCGACGACGTTTCTCGACTTTCCTCTGACATCGCTTCTCTTATTCAGCTACTGACCGTCCAATCTCCCCCTTCACAAGGTTTCCGATCCGAAAGTATCACCAATTTCGAGCTTGTCAATTTCCTGCTTTCGAATTCACTCATAAAATGTTATGGTTCGTTTTCTAGGGGAAACTTCCCTGATTGACGAAGCAAACCGTCAGCCCCCTCACAAAATTGATGAGAATATGTGGAAAAATAGGGAGCAGATGGAGGAGATACTGTTTCTTCTGTCACCATCTCGCTGGCCTGTTCAGGTGAATCTTACTATCGTTTTGTGTCCATGTTGCCTCTACTTCGCCTGCTTCTGGTGACTTGAATTCTCTCTTGTTTGTTTGTTTTTGGGGTTTGTGCGCAGCTTCGGGAACCTTCCACATCCGAAGATGCTGAATTCGCTTCTATTTTGCGGACTCTCAAGGACAGTTTTGATAACGCATTCACTGCTATGATTTCCTTCCAGACAAAGAATTCCGAGCGCATATTCAGCACTGGTATGTATAATTCTACGCAGAAACTGTTATTCATAGAAATAAAATAGGCCTTGCACGAGTATTATTATTATCTTCTCTGCAGTTATGACCTACATGCCTCAAGATTTTCGGGGGACGCTCATCAGACAGCAGAAGGAGAGGTCGGAGAGGAACAAACAGGCGGAGGTTGATGCGTTGGTTAGCTCTGGAGGGAGCATACGCGACACATACGCTCTTCTTTGGAAGCAGCAAATGGAGAGGTGAGCCTGGCTGTTTCTGATTTCTTAATTGCTGCTTTGCTTGTGGGTTTCTTCAGAGAGTCTGGATTATGCATTCATTGAATTTTATCTAGGAGGAGGCAGTTGGCTCAGCTAGGCTCTGCCACTGGTGTCTACAAAACCCTGGTCAAGTACTTGGTAGGGGTTCCACAGGTAGGCTTTCCCGTCTCTACTCTTTCTGGCAAAGATTTTTCGTGCCTTCCCTTCATCATCGATCGCTTCTTTATGTCTAATTCTCTTATTTTTATCCGCCAGTAGTCCTCATACTTATGCGCCTATGACATATGGCTTGTCCATTCCTGCATACTCATGCATATCGACGATTGATTTAGTTATTGATTCTTCTGTGCTCATACCTTGTAGGTGTTGTTGGATTTTATTCGACAAATAAATGATGACGATGGGTATGTACCATGGTCTCATTTAAAATAGACAATAAGGGTTTGCTTATTGAGGTAGAAGATTCAGGTTGCATAAGAAACTTTAACTGACAGAATTAATGTTCTGGTGTAAAGGCCAATGGAAGAACAGCGAGAACGTTACGGACCCCCTCTATACAGTCTCACAAAAATGGTGATGGCAATTCGCGTTTTCCTAACACTTCTGTGGGAAAGATATGATACCTTCAAACTGTAAGATAGTCCCAGAATATTTTCCTAGTTTTGGTTTATTGTTGTTAACGTAAGATTGCCTTAAATTAACACGATTCAATAATCATCGAGCTTGAAGTGCTCCATGAACTTTTCCGTTTAGCAGGTAGTGAAATTTTATTATATGTGTGATGAGCAGGAGTAAAGACCAAATGAATCTCCTGTCTGAAGCTGCTATAGTCTACACATCGGAGTTTGAAAGATTCGTCACATTTATCAGGTACCATCTCTCTTTCTATGGGCTTGGTCGTGGGTTGCTTTATCTTCTATTTAGTATAGGTTGCTAGATAACACAACATTGGGGAAAACTTCACTTTTAAACATTCCTCGAAAAGTTAAGGACAATTACGTTTATGTCTATTTTAAGGCTTGTTCTCCACTGTTTTCTTTTATTAGTTTTCCCAGTATGCAAAAGCATGCCTATTGGAGACTAATCTAATACAGTATTAGACATTCCCTCTAATTCATTATTTTTGTGTTCATTTTTCAGTTTTATTCGGTTTTGATTAAAGTTTATATTCACAGTTCCAACATTAATGAAAAATACTTGGGTTCACCCCTATTGCTCATCATTAATTAGGTTGGACAGTCTTTAGGCATTGCTTTCTCACTATTGAAGAACATTAACATTTTACTTTTTACTTTTCCAGCGATGTATTTGCCAATTCCCCCTTCTTCATTTCAGCAGATACAGCTGGCATATTGGGCTCAAGGTTAGCTTCCATCATTCACAAGATTTTCACTTCAGTTCGCGATTTCTAGCTCTAAGAGTTTGTACTTCTTAGGGATAATGAGGAGTACAAGGAGATAATCGTCCAAGCTGGGAGAACCTATGAGGTAATATGTTCTCCACAGATGCTTTTGTTTATTAATGAAACTGAAAATTTTGCCAGTATAAGAATCTTGACACTTGTTTCATCTGAAATTGCCATGTTGAAAACGTAAAATTTGATGTTAATGACAGTAGTGTGTGGCATTCACATTTTCTGCTGGCAAACAAAAAAATAAAGCATATGATAAGCACTTTCATTTGAGTCTGGCGTAAGTATTAATGTTTGTTCTTGTTGCTTCTCTAGATCTCATTGATGGTGGAATCCGAAAATTCGTATATTGCTTGGGATTTCTCCTTGATGCAAGGCAAGATAAGCATGGTATTGATTTTTAAACCCACGATGTGTTTCCCCAGCATGCTATTGATTTTTAAACCTGCAATATGTTTCCCCAGCATGGTATTGGTTTTCTTTCCCTCTTCAGATTTTTTTTTTATAAATCACAGGGGTGTCTAGTTTGTTCTCTTATGAGGTACAGTAGTTGTTCAAAATTCATGAAACTTAGATTTTTGGTCTCTGGATTGCATGTCATGAACTTCACACTGTCTCTATCTGTCGTATATCAGATTTAAAGTTGTATCTGTTGCTGTTTTTGCAAGACTCTGGTTATCCTTGTTTTCGCACATAGTTACAGCGTATCTTGTTCTGTAATGAATCTTTGAAAGGACATGAATTGTTAATTCCTGACATGATATGGCATCTAAGCTAGGTTCTCAGCTTCTGTTGTTTGTCCTCCGTTTATAATTCTGTTGTTATTTCCCAGGATATCGGATTTAGCTTGGAGTACATAAGTGCTTCAGGGGAAAAGACTGTGAGTCTGCTCTTTAGTTTCCAAACTGTGGTTAAACTTTCCTAGCGTATAGTATATATATTATCCCTCACTCTTTAAAATATCCATTCAATTAGTGTATTTCTGAGGGTTGATCATGAAGTTTTCTTATTTCAGCTGATATTACCTTACCGTCGGTATGAAGCTGATCAGGTCAGTGCTATGTGCATTTGTGGGGAAGCATTTGGGGTATTTTTGTTGCATAGCTGTGTTATTTAAGGTAATTGTTTTGGGGATCCACTTTGTTTATTCCTGCAGGGCAACTTCTCTACGCTAATGGCTGGAAATTACAAACTTGTTTGGGATAATTCATATTCAACTTTCTTCAAAAAGGTAGGGCGATATTTACATTTTGCGGCAGACGGAGTGAATCAGTATCCCTATTTAAGCCCATTTTTCCATTGCTTTCATTAATGTGGATCTTTTTATTGGGTCTTTTCTTTTCCTCTGTGAAAGACTCTTCGATATAAAGTGGATTGCATACCACCGGTAGTGGAGCCAGAGCCGGAGCCGTTAAACTGAAAGTGGAAGATGAAGTTGGATTTTACAGTCATGAACACTCATCATTTCTTTGTACAAGGATAAAACTCTAAACCCTTTGAAAGACATCAATGGAACTTTATAAATATTTGCTACCAGGAACATACTATTTTGTTTGCATTTACTTCAATATCATTGCAGAAGTGAAAAAGTGGCAAAGAGGAGAAGGAATTAAGAAACAAACATAACATTTTTTGGTATACAGAACAAAATAAGGGGGTGAGTTTAAATATTGACGTTAATTCAATAATATAATTATTATAGAAAAAAGGATTTAAGGCGTCCATCTCTGCTATTTGGAAGGAATGCAACTCGCGCATCTTCTCCATAGTCTCCATAGTCTCTGTGATCGCCTGCTCTTGTTCCCTGCTTCGGACTCTTCTTTTCTTTCTTTTTCCTTTAGTTTTTTAGTCTGTCGTCTTTTTCTTTTTACATTAGTTGATTAATTATATGCAACCAGAAAAAGAAAATAGTATAAAATTTAACATTTACACCCAAAAAAAATAAATAAAACCTTTTTTCTTAGAGAATTAATTTAGGATATGGGCTGCACCAGATATGTGTTTGCCCAAATAAAATATTTGAATTTTTTTTTTTATGATTTAGGGCGCAGCTGACATGTTGTATGAGATCCAGTACTTTAAGCCTAATAAACTTCAGCCCATACATCTTTATTGTTTCCAGCCCATACAAAGATCTGCTTCTTTGATTGCTACAAATCTACACGTCTTGTAAACCCGACCACTGTCATATTCGCCAGCGGTTTCCTCCAGCAAAGCCTCAACCACGATATACGGTTTTGGTCTTACTCCAACAAACTTCTCGAAATCTCAGCGGTTTTTTTCTCTCCCCACGAGAAAAACCCTAGACGAGGTTTTCTTTTCTTTTTGCTGGTGATTCTTCTTAGTCGCTGAGCATGTTTAATATCTTAATCCGAGATGGCCGTCGGCGCTAAATGCATCTACCTCTGACTCATCCATATACTTAAATGAAGTAATGTCTGCTTCTCTTTTATTATACACATGGAGATGATAGAGAGGGGTTTCGAGAAATCGGTTATGCGGAGATAATCTTTTGCATTGAGAGATACAGAGAGAGTGTTTCGAAAATGAAATAAAGAAAGGGTTTTATGAACAGATAGAGAGGGTATCATAAAAGAGAGAGAGGGCTCCCTGTGAAACAAGAATGCGATAAAAAGAAAATCGAACGAGAGAATAATTGTTACCGTTGACTGGTCTAGCATGAATCCAACCCGCAACAACACCAAGAGAGGTTGGAGGGTTTGAAATGATGATCTTACTAGCAAAAAAATACCAAATTCACAAGGAACAGTTGCATTAAAAAACAGATGAACATGAGATTTGATGGCGGAGTTGCAAAAGAATTCCAAATTCACAATTGACATTTCCCATTAGGGTTTAGGGTGTAGGGTTCAAGGTGTAGGGTTTAGGGTGTAGGGTTCAGGGTGTAGGGTTCAGGGTGTAGGGTTCAGGGTGTAGGGTTCAGGGTGTAGGGTTCAGGGTGTAGGGTTCAGGGTGTAGGGTTCAGGGTGTAGGGTTTAGGGTGTAGGGTTCAGGGTGTAGGGTTCAGGGTGTAGGGTTTACGGTGTAGGGTTTAGGGTGTAGGGTTCAGGGTTTAGGGTGTAGGGTTTAGGGTGTAGGGTTTAGGGTTTAGGGTGTAGGGTGTAGGGTGTAGGGTGTAGGGTGTAGGGTTTAGGGTTTAGGGTTTAGGGTGTAGGGTGTAGGGTTTAGGGTGTAAGGTGTAGGGTTTAGGGTGTAGGGTTTAGG